TGAAATTAAGAAAAAAATATTCACTGAGAAAAAAAATACACTGTGAAGCGTAACACATAAGCACTGAGAAAAAAATATTCTATGAAGTTTACGATACTGTATGGTAATAACATTTAAATATAATATGGCAATAACATTTAATAATATTATTATGGTAATAACATTCTTAAAAAATTACCATAGTTCTAGTTTTTTTATTTAAAAAAATGAATAAAATAAAATAAAAATGGTTAAACTATTTATTTAGCAATTTTTCCGTTCATATGGCAGCGATTTATCGGAAATTTTGGTTTTTAAAATTATTGTTCTTATTACCACACATTCAATAAAAAATACAAAACTGAAAAGTAATTTAATCAAATAAATAGATTTCATGCCATGCTCTAAGGAATAATGTCAAATGTTACCACATTTGTACCGAATTTTACCACATCTACCAAATTTTAAGGCATATTATAAAACCAAATTCTTATTCATAATTTCACCTATTTCATTACCAAAACGCTTGTGTAAAAACTATCGTGGCTTTTTTGTGTTCCAATAAAGCCAGAAACACCATATTCTGGTAGTTTTGACCATAATTTTTTTTTCAGCGTACTAATCAAATTAAACTTGAAAAGCTTGTTATCAAGCAATTACAAGGCATAATAAACCATAGAAAATGAATAATTAAATTTGTTGTTGTGAATTTATCTTATTAAATTAATACCCTTATTAAAATTTAAATTCAAGAATTCAAGTCGAAAAGATTTGAAATTTAATAAACATATTTTTAATTTTGAACATCTTGTATTACTCATGATTGCAGATGCAGTAATGGTTAAAAAAATAATTTATTAATTCTGAAGTATATATCAAATAAAGTGTTTCAAAATTTAAAAAAATTCTTGTTCTAAAAGTTCCAGCTTGAAACTGATTAAAAACAACGATACATTGTAACTGCATTCTTTATTTTTCGAAGTACATAAAAACATAGAAATTATTACTTATAATTGTATCATAATAAAATATTCATATTGGTTTTAGCATTTTTGTTGAGTATTTTTCGTAAAGTCATTGAAAAAAATATATTTCGTAACATCGAATTTCTTGACAATCGTTATTAAATAAATAAAGGTTATTATTTCAAAAAAAAATTAAGTATTCTGAGTCATTAATTGTGTGCAGGTTTCAAAAATGTCTCATCAAAGCAGAGTAAAGAAAATTTGATATCTACTAATCTAAAAGAATTTCTTTGATTTAGTGAGAGCTTTCTTTTTTTCTTTCTTCTTCTTCTTTTTTTTTCTTTTGGTCTTTTATTCGGCTTTTATGTTGTGTATAATATGCAATGTTAAAATAAATATTAATTTTCAATACATATTTTAACAAAATATTTTTTCTTTTCTTAAATTTTTAATTTAACTAGGTGACATATTTCTAGCCAGTATAGATATTTTTTTATCATTGATACAGATTTCAATACATTAGTCAAAAAATAAAACGCACACTATATATTTTTCAGAAAAAATGGAATTTTTATTAGGTGAAGTACATGACTCAAAATTTAACGTTGTTTTTTTTATGTTCTAGTGAAATTAATAATTATTTTTAGTAATTTTTTTATAATAATTATGATGACTTATATATAGTTAAATATTTGTGGAAAATTAAGCAGGGAAATTTATTTAAATTCTTTACTTGATTAAATCATTTATTAAAATTTTAGAAAGTTATAACTGCTATTTAAGCTTAAAAAGCAATATCGGATGACTAGGCATTTATCTTAATTCAAATGACTAGCACAGAGGCAGAACCGTATTGTCAAATGGATTTTAAAAAAAAAGGAAAAAAAAAACTGTTTCACTATATAGCATATTTACTGATGACTCGTCCCCTTTTACGTACAGGTCGATTTTAACGTAGAAAAACGGATAGCACTATCTGTCTTAAAGCATTAAGAGTTTTTTGTCCATCAAAATATAGCATTAATATACTATTCCTTATTCGTATATAGATACTATTTGAATATTTGTTATGGTATCGTAAGAATATATTTGCCTTATTAAAACGTGTGTTAAAATTTATATTTTTCAACTTTTATACGTGATTCTAATGGTGTTAATTATAAAGATTAAAAAAAAAATAGTTTTATTCAATGCTTTTAAAGCCACAAAAAGAAATCTTGATGCGATAAAAAAGTGGTGACCAATTAGGAAAAAATTGTACATATTTTACAGAAAATATTTTGCTGGAAGCTAAATACCAATGCATCATATTTTTTTTCCTTTTTCAAAGAAATTTTTCTTTTTTTTTTAATGCAGAGAGTTTTGAAAATAATATTCTATATTGTTTCAATTTCTAAAAACTTATTTCAACTCTGTTTGTGAATCTGGATGTAAATGCTTTTTAATTATGTTAGTCCGTATGCTAATTCCGTTTAATTACGTGAACACAGGTCTTCATTTGATGCTTCAAAAATAAGAAGTTTCCAATGATAAATTAACTAATGAACCAGTTCCAGTTGCTTGTTTAATTTAAAAGAATAGCTCTATTTAAGTATCTTTCATGCTTTAAGTGACTCAATGCTTTACTAAATATTTTTCAATATGTTACGTCTTATGTTTTTAAATAATTGATTGTAAATTGAAGGTAAATACCGTAAAAAACAAAGTTGAGGAGTCGGAAAAATTAAAAATTCTGCCTGGTAGGTTAGAAATACTAATAATCTTTTTTTTTAATTGAGTGAAAATTATTTATATAAATATTCATTATTGCGTAAACAAAAATATTTCTGGATTAAGAATATCATGAGAATCGATTAAATTAAAACTTATCACAAACTTAATTAATCAAATTTTATACTGTTTAAACTTATGTTTAACTGAATTATTGAAAATGAACATAGGAAATTATTGAAACTTCTAAAAATTCAATATTAATAAGTTACCTTTTAGTTCAGAAATTTCGAAATCAAATTTATTTAGCTAAGTTAATTAAAAAAAATATGCGATCGCGTGTAATGTATCATTTTTAAAAGTTTCTTAGTTCATGAATATTCCTTATGCTATTTCTTTGTCATACGATATTGATATTTCTCTTTCCTTTGAACGGATTCGTACAATTTCATTATTTTGAACAATTATGTTTTTTGCAAATTATTTCTCCAACTGTGTGTAATGTATTTTTTATTTTTAATGAAATACGCTTTACTTTAAAAGTAGTTAGAATGTAGAAACATGTAATTTGAAATTAGCATTTATTTAGCAGTAATCTATTATATTTCCTGAAATCCATAAGAAATTTTATTTGAGTATAAGTGTAAGTCGTATTTGGAATTTAACTTCTCATTGGAAATTTTAATTTTGTACAGATTGGAGTCGGAATTGAGCTATTAATAGGAAATTTTATTTGAGTATAAGTGTAAGTCGTATTTGGAATTTAACTTCTCATTGGAAATTTTAATTTTGTACAGATTGGAGTCGGAATTGAGCTAATAATTAGAATTTTATTTGAGTATAAGTGTAAGTCGTATTTGGAATTTAACTTCTCATTGGAAATTTTAATTTTGTTCTGATTGGAGTCGGAATTGAGCTATTAATAGGAAATTTTATTTGAGCATGAATTGGAGTCGGAGTTCAAATTGAGCTCTTAAAAAAATTCTGGGTCAAAATGGGAGTCGAATATTATAACTCCCGACTCCACATCGTTGGTAAAGACATTAAAAAGGGCAGTATTTTTTATTTATTTAATGGAGATAAAAAAGAAAGAATGCCAGTACCACTATGATAAAATATAATATTTCTTTGATTAATAAATAAAAATGAACTGAATTAATAAAGCTTGACTTCCTAATATGCTAAAAATGTTCAGCAGTGTTTTATGTAGATGTGGTATGTAAGCTGGCAGATACAATTAAATATTTAAAATTTTTAAAAAGATTATCAGTAAAATTAAAATTTGGCATTTGCGACTAACAAAGCAGTTGTTAAAATCAATGAATTGCTCAAGAAATAAACAATTATGGAAATGCTTAATATTCCTTTATTGTTATTTCAAAATTATTGACTAAATATAAGAAAGAAATATAGATTTTTTTTTATTATAAGGATATCGAATTTCCTTTACTTAAAATCTCACCACAATTTTAAATGTACCGAAAATATTCTTTATATATATATATATATATATATANTATATATATATATATATAAAACTTTCTATCGCTCCGCTCATCATATCCCGACGGAAACGTAAGAAAAAATAGAATTATGATAAAATATTCCGTATATAGTTGAGGAATATTTGAAATTCATGCGTATGAAGCTTTTTTTTTTCTTTCAAATCTCCGATTCTTATTTTGTTTTTCTTTTTTACTTTGATTAAGTTCACAATCAAACGTAAGTAAATGCATTCAAAACACACATTTGGGGTACTGTGATATAAGCTTTTATTGCATTAATAAGCCTCAATGAAATGAATATTCATGTAAAAAAATTAGAAACGAGTTAATTAAAATCACAAACTTAATGTGTAGGTCAATGTTCAATAACAAAAATGAGTTTTTAATCTTTTTTATTGCTTATAATATGTCTTTGGTGATTAAACTTTACTATGAATTCAATTAAAACCATTTGACTGTCTAACATTTCACAAGTTTATGTAAAATTTAAAATAATCACAATAACATATCAAAAAATTTAAAGTGATTCGCAGTAATTGTCTCTTCAGTGAAAATTTGAAATAAAAATAATGATATGTATAAATTTTTGACATTTTAATAGTATTTATGTTATTACTTTCAGAATGAATAAATTCTCTATTATCATAACATAGTTGTATATTTAACGTATTACGCTATTTAAAAATATATTTTAGTTAATAAAGTTATCAGAAATGATAATGTTATCACGTTAACATATTTTACCGTTCAATAAATCTTGATGAAGTAAGTGCGGCCTATTATCTTTTCTCATAACAATAACATTCACTTAGAAGTGTATAAAAAAGGAGTCTTATTGCAGGAGAAAGTTTCGCTTTTGGTATGTGAGGATGAAGAGAAGACTGACAAGGAAGTCAGGATCGACTCTCAAGCGGCTGTCAGTGAGCACCCCATGCTCCTTCCGCGGCAGGATACATAGAGAGGATACGATTTCTGATTGGTCGGACTCAGCCTCCCCAGAACCACCCTTCCCGAATGGGTATCCATGGCAGCCGAGCTTACCAAATTGAATTCGGCTCACCGTTCACACGAGTTAAAAAATACCCAAATTCCGAACTCTGATGCAGAAGAGAGAGGTTAGTAAGGAGTTGGATCAGCATCTCCTTGCATGATGAACTCTTACTTTGAACAGAGCGGCTTTTACAATGGACAGTCGGCAGCCGAGCAATCATACCGTTTCCCACAGGGACTTTTGGTGCCGCCCTACCCACCGCAGCCCAGCTCAGCCCGCTCCAACCCCGCCGCGCATGATAACTCTGCGGCCAGCTACGCGGCGGTCGACGCCACCAACAACGGTAATGCCTCGGTGGCTTCGACGGCAGCGGCGGCGACTGCGGCAGCTGCAGCGGCTTGTAAACTCTACTCGAACTCTGTAAGTGAGGGTGGCTCTACGATCTTCAAGCCTGAATGCCTGGCTAAAGATCAGAATGGCTTCAACCAGGCCGTAAAGGAGATGGCCTCATGGCCCTCAGGTTCAGTCACAGGTCTGCGACCCTCGAGTATGAGTGGAGATTCGATGCGACCCTTTCCTACCGATAATTCTGCAGCCCCTAGAGTCACAGACGCTTGGTCTACCTGCTGCCAAAGCACACCTCCTATGGCTCAAGCACCTGCCAATGCTTTCTACCCATGGATGGCCATAGCAGGTTGGTGTAAGTTCAATTTTCGTTCTTCTCTTTTTCCCCCCTTTTTTTAAAAAAAATAAATAAACAAACGTATGACAACATTAGTAAATGTTCTGAAATTTTTAATGACATTTTGAAAAAAATCATTCTCTTCTTTTAAACTACAATCGCGTCATTATAGGGTGCTTTTAGCACAGCTGTTGAAGGGAGGGAAAATTATGTTTCATCAGCAAAATAACTTCGTTAAATGAGAAAAATACAATTGATCATATTCACTTATCTCATTTTTTTTAAAAAAAGAAATAAAAATAACTAAAATAATTATCGCTGAGACGCTCTCCTTTATTATTTCTCTCTCTTTATTTTCAAACATTGAAAGACAAATCAATAGAAATTATAAAGTATTAAATTTCCAAGCACACAGAAACATTACTTTTATTTATTCCAGCCAACTCTGTCTCTCACATCCTTAATATTTCAGGCAATTTCCAAGTAAATTAAACTAAACAATTTTAAAAAATGAGATTTATTTTTAGAAAAACGTAAAATTATTTATGCCTTTCACATTTTTGTTAATATATTATATTTTTTTAAATATAATAAATTGGTCTTTTATTAACAGTCAATCAACAATTTTAATACTAATAAACGGCTTTTATAATTCAATTAAACATGACACGAGAAACAAAAATATTTTCTTTAAATAAAACATAAATGAATAATCAAATTTTATAAAACTATGATATGGTCTAAAAAGCATAAAAAAAGGTATTTTTAATTCTATAAGCTGGAAAATATTCCAAAATTAATATAATTAATTTCTTTATCTTTAAATTTCTGTCTAAAAAATATTCTGTCCAAAACGAATCAAACGCAAGGAATAAACTCTTTTATATATTTGGAGACGTGATAAAAATAAATCACGGAAAACTATCAGACTATTCGAAATTGAATTACATACTAACAAATCTCATTCTCGCACGATAAACAAATCTCATACAATTCAAAACAAGGAAACCCTAGAGCACGATATTCTGTTTAGAAAGTGAAAATAAACAGGCATCAAATCGGGTTTTGATAGCCTCTCGCTTGTTTTATAGCCTTTCAAAGAAGCAGTAAAATCATTTTATGACTTTCTTCAACAGCTATTCTTCATGTATCAAATACCTTCGCAGCAGGGTGGGAAGAAAACGACTATTTACTGGCCATCAAATCCTAGAGTGAATACCCGCCCTCCCCCAATTACCCAATAGAAATGGACTTTTTAAGGTTTTATGTAAGAACTTAGTTGAGTTCTTCATTTGCTGGGAGAGTTAATTTAATTGGAGTATCTTCAGCTCTAAGTTGAAAATTAAATTGTATCATCTCAGCTAGTAAATGGTGCTTTCTTAAGAAAAGCATGATAAAAACGTTTTCCTCTGAAAAAGTCGAATGCTGAATAAAATTTTGAAACGCAGCTATTCATGTTTGAAGAAGATACTCAATTACATAAATAATAATATTAAATTAAAGATATTGTAATATGGAGTAGATTATGATAATATTACTATATTTCAAATATGACCAGCATTTATAACTAAACTGTAAAAAATGTTTTACCTTACCAGATAGTTATAATACAAGAAAAATAATATAAATTAATTAAGTTTCAATTAAATTAATTATATTTCTGACACAATGTTGTAAAAATATGGTTTTAGATTTATGTAAAACAGATTTTATAATAAGCTGCTCAATGACCTCATATGACAAGCGTGATACAACGAAATGCAAGTGAAACACTTATTTTAGAAATATTCATCACGCTTTATTTTAATCATTCTATTCTTTCAGCACTAATTTTCTATTAATAAAATAATGACATAACAATATATATATATATATATATAGAGGTTATTTATTATTTTATAATAGGTTTTTTACACCATTTATTAATACAGTATGTATTATAATTTTTTTATTTGAAATTATTTTATAATATAAAATTATTTCATTTTTTTATTATTCAAAAAAATCGTATTTAAAGGTAGTAATGAAATCTTTAAAAAGTAATGATTGAAAATTAATATGATAACAAATTGCTATTAGAATAATAGGGTATCACTTCATGTTGATTTATAAGAGCTATTCTTTTATTATTTTGCTATTATTACAAGTGTTTATTTCAAAAAGTCACTATAGTAGTTACAAGTATGACATGTTAAGGGGAAATGAAAAAAATTGAAAGGAAAATGAAATATCTTAAAGCTATATTAATTCGTAAACATTATCAATTTTTTATAGACGAAAACAAGAGTTTATAATCGATATTTACATTTGTTGTAACAAAGAACTTTTTATTTTTGCCTATTGACACTTAACAATCTTTCATATTTTAACATAATATAGAAGATCATTAAGAATCTATTCCAATTTATCGAAAGATTACAACAATGCTTTGTTTGTTTTAAATACAGGCTTAAAACAATGTTAGTTTTAAAATGGAAAGACAAGTAAAATAGTATGTATAAACTAAAATTATCTTAACATTTAAAGAATTTTGTATTTATGATAAGGTAGTTTGTTATGACAGAATTAAAAATTGTCAATCATATCAATTCAAATGGACAGTTTCATTTCTTCTTCAAGAAAGTTTTATATTAATAAGTAAAGTGAATGCGTTTTAATAAATTTGTGAATGGAATTTCACTTTTTTGAATAAGAATTAAAATATGTCATAGAAAACTTGAAATAATTAAGAAAATAATATAGAATTAAGAAGATAAGGCTATAATTATTGAAATAAAATATAACAGCAAATCATAAAAACTCTTGTAATTAGTTAAATGCAAAATACGAGAATAATATGACATTCAACTTTATTAACTTTAAAAAATAGCACAACAGAATCTCATCAAATATATTTTTATTAAAAAGCTTTTCTTATCAAGATTATTTTAATATATTCAAATAGTTCAGTTGTCATTTTTATCAACAAGAATATAAGAGGATTAAATATAAATCGAAGTTGAAAGATAAAGAAATGTGAATCCGTATTCAATTCTGCACTATAAAAATTTTTACCATAAAATAGTATATTGCAAATTTTACTGTAATATTTATTTAATTAGAGTGGTTAATTGATTTTATTGTAATTATTACTGTAAAAATTACGGCATATCAGATTTTTTCCCATGGTATATTCCGGTAAAATTGATTCGTTTAAAAGTACTGGCCTCCTGAGCGCCGGTACTATTTAATTATCGTAATTTCGTACAGTGTGTTCCTCCGAGTTTGCTTTTTTTTTTTTTAATTTTTCCAATCTTAATAAGAATAAAATAACTTTCAACTTAGATAACTTCAGAAAATTATACAATGATAGAATATGATTAAAAAATATTTTTTTACTGTATTTTATTATTATTTTATTTTAAATAATATTACGGGCCTTTGTCATCTTAGCCTTTTAATTCATTCAAAATTATAATATTATTTTATTAAAAAGGAAGCTTTGTAATAATAGTACCCTAATTATAAATTAAAGTAAAAGAATTTTCCTTAATTTAAACAATTATTAAATCAGACATATCAATCAATTATTTATGTGTTGCAAATAATTTTGAAACTATAATATTGATCATCATGCCAATCTTACGAGTAAAATTTACTATTTTTTCCCCTAACGAGAAAAATAAAGCTACATAAATATTGAGACGCAATGAGCATTATATTTTCTTTTATAAAATTCACGCGTCAGTTCTATTGCTAGAGTAAAGCTCGAATCGCACTTTTCAAGTCTCGGGTACAGGTAGATATATCACTAGGCAATGCCATCAATGAACGTGACCCAAACCTAAATGTATCTCTTTTGTGAAAAAGAGAAGAAAGGAAAACGAATCTTCTGGTAACAGTAGAAAATGTATCAGAAATATTCACTGACAGTAAAAATGTCTAGAGTAAAGATAAAAAACGCGTATCGAGACACATTTCTTTTCTCTTAAAAATAAAAACAATATTTTGCTTAAGTGCTAATACGTAATACTGAAATAAAAATTTTATATTCATTTAAATTCAGCAATTTTTTTTATCAGAGGATATAATAAGGAGTTGCATTTGTAAAGATGAATTGTCACTTTAAACAATCAATTGCAATTAAAAATTTCAAGTTATAATGAAAAAAAAAGCATGATAATTATCGATAATGTTACAATATGCAGAAATTTTTCAGATTCAAATTTGACCAAATTTTATTATTTAATTCAGAACAATGGAAAAGCTAATTTCAAACTGTGTCATAAAGAAATATATGAGCTTTGTATTCAAAATATTGTGCTCAACCGTTATAAAGCATAACATGAAAAAGAAATTAGCAAAGGTTTAATATATATATATATAAAATTAAATAAAAGTTAAACATTGTTCTATGGGAAATATGTTACTTACAAATAGAAACACGGCAAAACTTTCTGGATCAAATGACTTTTTACCGTAGAAACCATTTTTACCAGAACATGTCACGGAATTAAAAATCTAATATATTGTAATTTTTGCAGTAATAATTGCAGGGAAATCCCTAAATCACTCTAATTAAATAAATAATACTGTACGGTTTTATATTTTACACATAAAAATGGATTTAATGGCAAAATGGATTTTACAAATGATGCACCCGAAGTGCCGATACTTAATACAACACTTTGATCCGGAACTTTTAACAGCAAAATTAAATTACTTAAGGAATTCTGGTAAATATGATTACAGCAAATACGTATTGAAATTTAAAGTATACTTGTGTTATGATTTCTGCTCAAATTATACGCTAACAAGGTACATTTATATATGAATATAAATGCGCCATTATGTATTTTCAAAAACACATTTTTGTATTCAAAGATATATAAAGTGAGTCGTACATCAATCGGTTTCCGAAGCAAGTTAATTTAGAAGAGTCATACTAAGTTTATTACATTTCTTATTGCATTTTTAAGTCCCTTTGGAATCTATGGGCAGTGGACTTAAATAACCTAAATTAATCTGGATTAACTTAA